CGAGTTAAACTCCATTTCGAAAGAGGCTTTCTCGGAATGCTTCCAACAATGGCGGCACCGCTGGGAGAAGTGTGTGGAGTCCCAAGGAGACTACTTTGAGGGTGATTAGGTTTCCAACACTCCAGGTATGCCAGTTTTTATTCCCCGGCCAAAGGTCGGATACTTTTCTCACAGGCCTCGTATACAACATAGAGATAGTATGTTTTCAATTTATCCAGTTTCATTTCATTTTTTTCACTTGGGACTACATATGACCAAATGCTCGTGTGATCTGATGGTAACACATTTGTTGCATTGTAAAAGTTTCTACTTTGGTTTCTTAACAATGAATTATATGTATTTTTATTGCAGTTTTAAAAAATTTTGTTAATGCATGGATGGTGAAAATGGTTTAAAATTCTGGAAGGTATTATACATGTGGCATTGTATTTATTCCTTTTTTTTATTTTTCTAGTATGGTATTCTATTGTTGCTGTAAATGAACATTGTTTTAGAAGCTTAGATGTCCCAAAGACATTTCAAAAATGATTTAATTAAGTTAATGCTTTAGAGGTGTTATTATACAACATTATAACACATCTTTAACAGTATCTGTCTAATTTACCATTTGTGGTCTATATTTTAATATTAAAGTATTTACAAATTTGATGGACATAATTTAGCCTATTCCTTGCAAGAGGAGCAGACATTGAAGCACTAAACAAAGGAAATGAGTTACCAATTGAAGTGAGTATTGCAATATATATTTTGGTTAAAAAAAATACCTAGGCACCTAGTCTGTCATATTTTAAATGCACAGTAAGCCTTTAGCTATAAGTAACCACTTAACTAATTATAACAGTGGATATGAATACTGCTGTCCTATTTATTTGTGTGCATTATGATAATTTCATATATTTTGTGAATAATGTATAAGATGTCAAGATAGGCAATATGCACTCAAACAAACAATCGATATATTTTTTTTGTTACAATACTTATGATGTTTGGCATTTGATCATCACCTTCACTTGAAGTTTATAAATATACATTTTATCAAATTAAGCAAAATCCATAAATCAACATAGGAATTTAGACAGAAAATCTCCCATGCTGCCACCAGTTTTTTATGTTTCATTTTGGCTTTCCAGAATCCGTGATTATTTCCCCTATAAATATAAAACTTTGTAATGAATGATAAAATTCTCTTTAGGAAATTTTCTTTTCCAGGTGAAGAATCTGGACATACAAATAGTTTCCTTGGCAATAATTAAATTCATTAAAGAAGTTCCTTGTTTAAAATTCTTTCTAACCTACATGTTATTGATGTGCTGTTTCTCTTGGTTCAGACATGTTTGCCTAAAACTCATTTAAAATGCAAAACTTGACTTTTCAGTTCAACCATGCAGGTTTAGTTATATAGTCTACAGTAATGACAGTTATTGTAATCTTGTTTTCAAATACCACAGTGGCTAACATTTTCACCAAAAAATGACAAAAATTTGGAAGTATTATTTTTTAAGTGGTAAGAAGTGCTGTTCAAGATTGCCTTTTCACACATAATGTAGCTGAAAGGCTGGCAGAAAATTCGAAATTTCTTTGGGGATTTATTACAGTAAATAAAATTTAGGTATGTTGTTTAATAGCTAATGTGGTCATTATTATCAACCACTATGAAAAAGATTTTTACTCCTTGTTGACTATATTGTGAGAGGAGTTTGTATCGTTCGTTATTTATATTAAGTATTTCTTAAACTAACAGTGTGACAGCTAGGGGTTTTTAAGATAAAATTTTAAATGTAAACTTTTTAATAAATGTTTAATATGCAGCTTTCATGTTCTTTTCTTTCTTTACTAAGAAAAGTACAGGTGTGACCTTGCAATTGTTTAAAATATAATATTTATATTTTTGTTTTAAGTATTACTAAATATAACTAATCTTATTCTCAACATTTTGTTTCATTCATATCAAGAGATCAATTACATCACATTGCAGCACCCTAAATTAAAAATGGCAAATGATAGAATCAATTTTAAATAATAAAGCAAAAGATAATGATACTATAATAATAATAATACAGAACATCATATTTATTAACCACTTAAAATGTCTGATGTTCTTCATAATAATAAAAAGTCATAATTATTATTTAATAATGATTTTTTTTTGTTGTCTGTGTGTGTGCTTTTCAGTGTTGTCTAAATAAAAATTCTCCTACATGGATGGTTTTAAAAATGAACCAAGAATTGAAAAGAGTAACTGCCAGCAAATTGCATCAAGCCGACAGAATTCTTGAAAGGTAAATGTGTGAACAGGTTAAAACTGACCTTTCAGAATTTGTCTTATGTGCAATCTCTGATAGACTTCAAACAGTAATTATAATTTTTTTTTTCTTTGTAGCTCAATATATAAACAGTTGTTGAACTTAGTTTAAAGGAGAATGTGAACAAATCAAATAGGTAAAAGTTTGCCCATTGGTGTGGTGTTTTTACAATATTTATTTACTAGCAGACCTGCAAAATATTTTCAGTCAAATTAGTATCCTTATTGTCATAGTATTTTAAATACAGGATTTCTAGAATAATATAAAAAAAGAATTGTAATTGCAAACACCAAAATCTATAAGTCCACTTGTCTTAGGCTTAACATTAGTTAAGCCTTTATTAAGTATGTCCTATATATGATAATGAGATAAGTTAACACTGTATTTTGTGTACTTTTTCTTGCTTTAGTTTAGTTAGGGCTAATCTTTACTGTACTTAATACTATCAATAAATAAATTAATAATGTTATTCTACAACCTAATGTTAGACCTTTTTGAAAATTTTGATAAACGTTTAAAATGTTGTTGTACAAAATGTACACTAATAGATATTTACATCTGCCCTTTGTTTACATCCATTGAAATGAAGTTCATGTGCATGCACATTTATATAGTAAGGTGCATGCACATTTTCAGGACAGACAAACACTGAGTATTAATATAATAGATTTTGGTACACTGGCCAGATTCCTGCTGGGGAGTAAATGTCAACAGAAACCTGTAATTGATCAATTTTAGAAGCAACAACTCAATGTTGCTTATATTCATTGTATGGGAATTTCATAAGTTTTAGAATCTGTTATCTTTATAATTAACACAAATAATGATGTTAAAAGATTTTGCTGACATGACCATTCTGTTCTCCTTTTATAATTTAATTTTAGTTAGTATGATTTTGTGGTGTAATGACTTGAAGTTTGCTAAATACCAACTAGAGCAGTTTCTATAGCTTACCATTATATAATTGACTTGCCTTGGCAGTGTTAAGTGAAAAAAGAAATCACTTAATCTCATGAGTGTCGAGTTACTGAGCTGGTTAAAGATAAATATTTATTTGAAAACTTTATTTAAATCAGTTAAAGAAATGACTTAAAATAAACAACAACTGCTATAACTAGGAGAAATTCTTCATTTAAATTCCATGGTACAATTAGGGACATCACACGAGGCAAGGAGCGAAATCCAATCCAGTGTGTAAATGGACTAGACACTGAAGGAGAACTGGAAGACTTCCTGTATATAGTTGAAAACTGTGAAACATCTCCCATCAATATTGACAGAACTATCACATCTTTACAGGTATGATCTTTGTAATTTTTAATGTAAGAGTTTCTAAGTACTGTGTGATCATATTTCATACTTCCTGCTGCCTAATAAATAGTTATGTGTATGATAGGTTTAATGAAGAAAGTAGTATAGTCTTAAGATGGAAGCCTTTGTGTGTGTTATTAATAAGGTAAAAAAGAAATTTTCACTTTTAAGTATTAATAATTATTTAAGATACTTTGGAAATTAAGAGTTTAATTGTGGATATCGTTTTAGGAAAATTAATTGATTGTCAGAAAATATTTGTATATTCTAATGAGCTAAGTTAGTTGGGAAAAATGTGTGGAACAAACAAAATTTCGGATTTGTAAGAATTTATGCAAATATCATGTATGATATCCCAAAAATAGCCTTGTTCATTGCTCAAACCACTTTTTATAAACTTATTCAAAAATCGTATGCAGATTAAAAGAAATATTTTTTTTCTGTTTCCACTCTGGGAATTTGATAACTTTCAAATGGGGCTGGAATATGAAAGTGCTTTTATGACGAAATTCCATTGTCATTTGAACAAGTTTCACTTTAGAAAGCTTTGTGTTTCATGTTATTATATTTTGATTTTCAGTCAGTTATTTGCGTTTTTAAGTATTCTATTTAAGATAAACAGATTTTAAATTGTATATCTTTTATTTACTCGTATAACTCACCAGTGGCTCAGTAGTAAGATTGAGGGCTTATAACTCTAAAAATCAGGGTTTGATATCCACTGTGAGCACATTGCAGACAGCCCATTGTGTATCTTTGTGGTTAACAAACAAGAATACTTATATAAATTTGGTATCTTGCATATATTGTGAACCATGGTGTCTGTCCAAGTGTTCGACTGTCTCCCATTTATGGAAGCTGCTTCCCACACTGTGTTTGAAAAGCTCAACATTCACTTTTGAAATAATGGGAGAACAGGCATGAATAATGTTGATACCAAATTTTATTTTGTAAACAGGATATTTCCTACTAAATTATCAGGAATTAATCACACTATAATTCACATTTCAAAATGTGACGTAACTTAAATAATAAAAACATAGATTTATTGTATGTTATTGTTGAGCAACTCTTAATATGACTGAAATGCTCAATAATTACTTTTCGCGGTGGGGGTATAAATAACTCAGAACTTGGGCTCTGAGTGAAACAAAAGAGTATAACATAATTAACCTTGTTAAAGTCCATGAAATAATCTAAATTGATAGATTAACTTAACCTTTTCCCATCACTGAGGATGGTTACTTTTGCTTATATTATTAATTACTTTGTAGATTTTATAAAAATGAGGAGCTCTTGTATAACATTGGGAAAGTGAAATTTATTTTTATTATTTAAACATGAATAAAATAGAAAGATTCAAAATCTCATTCATACTTATTGATTTATAAAAATTATTATGTACATTTTTTCGGCATTGTTGTTCTGTAAACAACCAAGGATCAAAGTAAACTCTTGGCAATTACAAAATCCAACTGAAGTTTATGTGTAGGAAGGTAAATGTTTTGTGTATTTGTTCAAAACTTTTGAAAGACTGTTCTTTTACAGTGAATGATTAACAGTGACTACAATATGTAGAAACTATACATTTTGTTCTAAAGTTTTCAACATATCAAAAATACGTGATAAAGGGCAAATTCCACTTTGTTTCATATGCAAGATACCAAATAATGCAGACATTTTTTTTTGTTTTCATTGGGGTACAGATTCTGTTTATTAACTATTTAAACTTGATCGGACACTGCCAGCATCTGGCCAAAAGTCTCGATATACAAATTGCATAGTGACAAAGTCCAATAACATTTATTTCTTTTTGGATGAAAACTAGTTGGAAATTTTACAAGGTATGGTGATAATTATTAGGACATCATGAAAATAATTCCAGCAGAACATGCCAAAAATTATTGGTTTAAAGAGTTAAGTATTTATAGTTTTGGCATATTCCTCAAGTGTGTTATACGTATATGGTTGTTCCATGTATTGATTAAAAAAAAAGTATTCAGTTCATTTCTTCTGTCTTGCAGATGATGTCTGATGCCCTACCTTGTTCAACAAAATAATGGGTATTAAAATAAAGAAAAAGTTAAATTTGTACTACTGTGAATCCATTATTTAATTATATATTCTTTAAAGTATCAGTAATAGTTAACTTAATGCTTCTTATACAATTCTTCACACTTCATCTTCGTACCTTTAGTAGTCTGTCCATATTGGCCCGTTGATTGTAAGAAGGAAGCTTGTTTGAGTATTATGCTCTGAAAAAGTACTTTGAGACTAAATCATTACTCTTATAAGATCTTCCAGTTATCTTGTGTTCTTGTCATCCGTTACACAATTAACATTTCATTTAAACTTAACTCGTATAATTGTAGGTTTGTGTATAATCTGTATCTAATTATATTGTTTCATTTAAACTTAACTCGTATAATTGTAGGTTTGTGCATAATCTGTATGTCATTATTGTTTCTATCAAAACTAACATATAATTGTAGGTTTGCATGTGGATGTATAGCAAAACTTTGTATTATTACATTTTTATACATATTATTTTAACATAGTGTATTTATTTACATATATTTGCATGTATCTAGGGGTTAAGCTTTGAATATTATACTTTTATAACTCATCATTTTCATATTCTTTATCATTATTATCTTAATAAAAAACATACAACAGATTTAAAGAACAGATTTAATTTTGAATTTGTCATTTCTGTAGAGCTGTAGATGTACAGATGACTGCACATCACCTAGCTGTACCTGTGCCACCATAAGCTTTAAATGCTGGTATAACAGGGTGAGATTTTTTTTTTAAATTGGAAGTTTTTAATCTGTTGTAGCCTTTTTTTTATATAGTTGCTCCATAATTACCTGGTCTTTAATATCAGTAGTATGTTGTATTCACCATGTAAAATAGATTTTGTATTTGTAACAAATCAAGGATTTAGTTAACAGTCATTAGCTGTTAGAATTTTCTGACTATTTTATGAAGAGATACCAGCTATTATTTGTTTAGTCCCCAGTTGGGTCAGGGGTAAGTTTAAACTCAAGAGGTTTGATTCCCAATGGTTGACAGAGTGTAGATAGCTCATTGTACAGCTTTGCAGGTTTTTAAAAAAAACAAACAAGAAAAGATAAAAATGTATGAACTTGACAACTGGCTGCTAAAAGATTGAAGTAAAACAAGATGAAAGTCTGATCAGTTCGTGTCTTGTTGAGAATATACTGCTTACTTCTATACAAAAAGTCTGTCTCTCTGCCTTGGTCTGTAGATGGCTGTCTTCTGCAGTTTGATACAAAATTGTTGCCAAGCATATGGAAATAAACTTTCACTGGAAGCAGATGTCTTTGCATTCAATTTCTACTGCAAATAGATCCCTTTATGCTAAACTTCCACAAGTAGGCGTCTTTACACTAAACTTCCATTGCAGGCAGACGTTCTTATACTCGATTTCCACTGCAAACAGATGTCTTTTACAATAAACTTCCACCACAAATAGATGTCTTTCACAATAAACTTCCACCACAAACAGATGTCTTTTACACTAAACTTCCACCGCAAACAGATGTCTTTTATGCTTAACTTCCACCGCGAACAGATGTCTTTTATGCTAAACTTCCACCGCGAACAGATGTCTTTTATGCTAAACTTCCACTGCAAACAGATGTCTTTTATGCTAAACTTCCACTGCAAACAGATGTCTTTTATGCTAAACTTCCACTGCAAACAGATG